CGTATGTATGAAAGTAAATTTTCTTCCTAAATTAAGTGAAAGTTATCGTTAGTGATTGACATTATATACGTTTGTAAAAGTTATATTACACATATCACGTATGTAAAGGAATCTTCATCTTTGACTTAAGTGAAAGTTATCGTTAGTGATTCACATTATATACGTTTGTAAAAGTTATTTTACACGTACCACGTGTGTAAAACGAAATGCTTAAAATGATGATTGAAATAAACTGAGACGATTGGAATTTTTAATTTACCTAAGTAATTTCGGTATTTTTTTTTATGTAACGAATTTTAACATTCAATTACTGTTAAAATGTTCGGCTAATTGAATAATTACTTTTTAACAAAATATATTTACTTATCGAATTTGATATTATTAATTTATGAAAATTCCTATTAACTTTTAAATTTCTTTCTGATGCTGTTTGCACTGATTTAGCACAATTTTAAATTATCATTTAAAATTTGATTTCAGATTAAATTGCGTGTAATTAAATTATTCTATTTGAGAATTAATCAAAATTGTGTATTTATTTCAAAATTTATCATTCTATTCAAAAATGATGCTTTCCAATTACATTTTAAATTTTATTATCAAAATTTGAACTTCGAGTTAAATTTGCGAAAAATTTTAATTTCAAATTTAAAATACAATTTCACGTTTGATTTTTTTTAATTGCAAATAATAAATGTTAATACAATAGATTTCGATTTGATATTTATGGTTTGAAAAAAAAAGCATTTAACGGAAATGAAAAAACTAAAATTTAAAAATGATATCTATCGTAAATGGATAATAATAGCTTGGTCCAGTTTAACTTATACATTTTCCGGGAAACGGAAATAACGGAATGATAACGATGAGCCAGGATTATATAAATGAAATAATAATTTGATAAACGTGATATGGTATAAATGATCTTTCGTCAGGATTGCACCGGAAAGCAATTATACCGGAAAACAAGTTAGTAGCATATCCCGAAAAAAGATAAATATATCGTTTACATACGTGGAATAATTGATCAAAATATGAGAGGAGAGATAAAAACACGGAAAGGAAAAAATTTTTGAATTCAAAATTTGAAATGTATAAGGGAATATTATAAAATAATTCCGGAAATCCTACCGAAAGACTTTTTTCTTCAAATGTAAATACCGGATAGCATTATTCCGGTTTGATAAATATAGCAATTACGTTATTCATGACTGTAATTGGAAACCAATGCAATTAAATGTTTCAATTATTTAAATATTAACAATTTGGAAACAAATTAATTAAATTGAAAATTTTCAAATCGATGGTTTACATTTAACTTTTAATTATTATCCGTATAGAAGATTTTTAAAAATATCCTGTATATGAAGTAAAATATCGATTCTTGTGAGCGCAAAATTCGGGAAAGGGAAGTAATGGGCGCAAAAAATGTGAGCGCAAAAATTTTACGAAATATCATGGTATCAATATATAACTTACTTCATATATCACCCAGTATGTCACCAAAACTATCCTATGGAATTTGAAATACTTTTACTACTAGAAATAACCTAAATAAACTGGAATATTCTGTCTGAGAAAAAAAGTGTTATCAATATAGTTTGATATCAATGCGCAAATTATCAAGTGACAATTACAAGTATGATAAGATAAAATTTAGATTATTGACTTTTTCAAAAAATGAATATCTATTATTATTTACTAATGCTGTGAAACTAATTATAAAATTGGAAATTATGAAATGTTTTTGATTAGATTTTTATTTTGTATAATGTGATTATTGCCGAAGTAATTGCCATTATTATAATATTTAATAATCAAAAATTAAATCGAATTTTTTTTAGCTTTTCAAGAAATGAATAGTAATTATTATTTACTAATGCTATAGAAATCAAAAATAATGGTAATTTAAAAAAATTACATTATAAGATGAAATTTTAATCGAAAATTTCATAATTTTAATTAAAACAAAATACAATTTTATTAATGAAGAAAAGAACCCAAATAACAATTATTAGTTAAAATTTTTATTTTGCATTTTTTTTTTGTTTCAATTTCAAAAATGCAAAGAAATTGAATTTCGAAATTAAAAAAAAAAGAAGAGAAAGATGGAAAAATCAATCGTTAAAATGAATGAATAATAATGAAATTTGGAAGAAATATGTAAATTCATCCAAACAAATAAATGAAATATCTCGAAATGAGAAATTAAAAAGGAATGAAATGAAATGGTATGTGATATTTGATTCAGTTATTTGTACAACTGTTACTGTTCGGAATAAAATAGAATGGTTATTGATATTTGATTCAATTATTTGTGCAACTGTTAGGAATAAAATAGAATGGTTGAAAATGTGAATGAAATAAAGAAAGAAAAAAAAACTTTAGAAGAAAACGAATTCCTGCAATAACTTTTGTTTTCAATCAATAAAATTGACTAGAATTGATGAAACTTTTCGGGGAACAGAGGTATAAACATTCATGAATTTGATAAAACGTAAAATATGAATTGATTAATAATGACTTGATAAAACATAAAATATGAATTGATTAATAATGAACTGATAAAACATAAAATATGAATTGATTAATAATGATTTGATAAAACATAAAATATGAATTGATTAAGAATAATTTGACAAAACATAAAATATGAATTGATTAATAATGAACTGATAAAACATAAAATATGAATTGACTAATAATGATTTGATAAAACATAAAATATGAATTGAATAATATTACTTCAACCTTTTTCTATCAATTTTCATCTTACAGAACTTTTTTTCCCACTTCAAAATATGGCATATTTAAATTAATAATACTGTAAAAAAAAACATACTAACCATAATCTCTACGACTTCAAATATAACTGTGTAACGTTCTAGATAATACTGTAAGACAATTTTGTAAATTTTTCAATACCTTATTTAAGATTAAATTTATCGGATAATTGGTTCAGTTTTCAACATTTTTAGCAAAGGAATTTTATCAAAAAAAAAAAAAAAGAGAAACAGTGGAATGTGAGAATGTTAATTAATTAATTGGGAAATAATCAATCTTTCAAATAATTGTTCAAAATAATTTTCTATCTTAACATATTTAATTGAGATTTGTTAAAATTTTCAATGTATTTGGATGGTTTTTTTTCCGAAATCTTAACAATTTAACAAAATTTAAACTATAAAAATAGTAAAAGTTTATTATTGTATTCATAGAATTTGCTCAATATCTTTCACTCATTAATGGTAGCAATAGTCTTGGCCAAGCAATCAATAATAGTCTTGGCTGAGCAATCAAGTCTGTTTTGTGGCTTTTTTGGAAATTATATATTTCAAGTTTTTCAAATCATTCCGGATCGCCGGTGCAAACTTTACTGAATTACTGGATGGGAACATGCTGATGTTTTACAAAATTTGTCGATCATTAAAATCCAAAATATAATGTCCATTCGCTTGTGAAGACAATCCTATGATATCGAAGATCCGGAATAACGGGAGAAATTTAAAATATTCAGTAAGTAGTTTTAATTAGTGGAAGAGATAGATAAGCATAAATAGGAGATAATTTTCTTTAAAGTTAATCTTAAATTTAATTAGCACCTTTAAATTTCATTTCATTAAGGCTCTAAGGTAAAATAAGGTTATAATAAATTTCGAATTATTTATTTTCCTTTTCATTTTAATTCAATAAAAATTTTAATTTCTTTCATATCAGTGATATAATTGCACTTCTGCTTAAATTATAATAGTAATTAATTAAAATGGCTGTCAAAGCTATTCGACAATTTACTTCTAACTAAGAAAGATTTAAAAATTACAAAGCCTAAAAATGGTATATCTAGCCAAATTTTCATGGCTAAATCTTACAGGTAATTTGCAATTTCATTTATACAAATTAAAATATTGTTTTGCTATTTCTATGAGTGTTACAAAAGCAATTTACTATTGATTATTTAATAAGCGATTGAAGTCTAATTACAAAATTAATCCAATTATAACTATAGCAATAATCTAATTACTATAGCTAATAACAGCCATATTTTAACACTTCAAAAATTTATGAATTAATTTTACGAATAAATCTATTTTTATTGCATTATTATCGTTTTTGAAATAATCATTTTATGTAAATTGGTCAAACATTTTTTTTTCACTAATTTTAATGCTGTTTAACAATTCAACCAGAAATGAAATATGAAAATGATCGAAAGG